CGGAGCCTGGGTGGAACGAGCGGCTCTGGATCCTGGCTGGGTGAGGAGATGCGGCCATCTGAGAAAGGAAAGGACAGGACAAGTCCTACAACCTTGGGGAGACAGGTGAGGAGAGGGTCTGATGGCACTGGAGGAGGTCATTGACTCTGTCCCACCTTCAGGTAAATTGATGCAGGTAAAACTGGATGTGAGCAAGCTCCACAGCCAGCCTGAGCTAGCAGCCCAGCTCAGGATGGTGGACGGCGGCGCCTCCGGGAAGGTGGAGGTGAGGGCACTGGCTTAGTTGGGGGAGATGCGCACACAAGAATAGGCTCTTCAGCACTCGGGAGGTAAAGGCAAGCGGATTTCTGTGAGTTCAAGGCCAGCCTGGTCTACATAGTGCGACCCTGTCTCAATAAAACAAACAAACAAACAAATAAATAAATAATAGGCTCTGCCTATAGAACAATTAACCCAGGGAACTGGCAGTGGCAGAGGTGCACACCTGTAAACCCAGCACTCTGGAAATGGAGACAGGAGGATCAGAGTTCAAGGCCAGCCCAAACTATATGAGACATTGTCTCAACAAACTAAATAAAATGACTTGGGAACATGTGGGTGCACATTCACACACAACCAGGGCCATCCGTGGAAATATGCACTCACTCTTCAACAGCTGGCTCATACATTGTCATGCCTAAAGTCAGTGAAAACAGAAGGTCCTGCCTAGATTTGTCCTAATATGGATAACTAGAAATGGGGGTGGTAAGAAATGGAGAGGGGGAGTAGGAGAGGGAAGGAAAGGAAGACCAGGAAAGGTACAGAGTAGGAGGAGACAGAGGGAAGGAGGTAGTGGAAGGAACCCAGGGGAGAGGGGAACCCAGAGAAAGAGGGGTGTCAGGAGAAGCAGAGGTAAACGGACAGATGCAGAGGTCAGACAGAGCAAGGACATATGAAAAGCAGAGAAGAGAGAAGGGCAAGGAAGCAGGGGAGGGGCCTGGGATCCAGTTCCAAGCACAAAGGCAGGAAGGGTCCAGAAACAGGAAGGCCTGAGCTCCAGGTAAATGCCACTCTTGGATGGCCTTTGGTCTAGGCTTCTGAAAACAAGAGGCTCTGATGCTCTGGTCTGGAGGGCTAGGCTCCTGGAGAAGTCTCAGTCTGTGTAGGTAAAGGATGCCAGACATCATTCCAGACCCGCTGATGTGTAGTGAGGCAGGTGGTGTGGTCCCTGATTTGCAGGAAGAACTAGAGCTTGGGATGGCCACATGCTGGGCTTCCACCAGTCCTACCTGGTTCTAAAGCACTGGCATGGTTCCCACAAGAACAAGAGGTCACACCAACCAATGTAAGCAAGTGCTTCCCTTTTGGCCTTAGAACAGGCTTTGCAGTTTTCTAGCTTCAAACTCACTGTGTAGTCAAGGAAGACCTTGAACTTATGATCCCCCTGTCTCCACCTCCCCAGTGTCAGGATTACAGGTGTGAACTATGACACCTGGTTTGTAGGGTGTTGGGGATGGAACCCAGGGCTTCAGCATATTAGGTAAACACTCTACCAACTGAGCCGCATCCCCAGCCCTGTTTTTTTGTTTGTTTGTGGCCTAGGTTAGGTCTTTGTTTGTTTGTTGTTGTTAATGATACTTGAAAGAAAAAAGGGGATCCCCTGCCCCAAAGCTCCGAAGTCTTTCTTCTGGTCTCTCATCTGTGCCCTGGTCTGAGCAGTGGGCAGCTGTGTATGTGTGGGGACCTGTTTTCCCCTAGCCAGGGCTATGACCACTGTGGTCTGGACTGTGGAGCTGGGTCCATCTTGCAGCCTCTAGTCTTTGCTACTTATTTGCCCAGGTACAGCAGATAAGCTGAGTCTGGGCTGTGGTGTGGGGACTCCAGAGGTCTGTGGGGGAAGTGTCACCCACAGATCCAATGTGGAACAGGGAAGGCAGAGTTGGGGTAAGCCATTCATCAGCACAGATAAGCCAAGACCTTTCTGGCTGATGCAAGTGAGCAGGCTGCTGGAGGCAGAGATTCCACCCGTGCCCACTGTCCCCTGCTCCTCAGGTATGGTACATCCAGGACTTACACAGGAAGCCTGTGGACCCCAAGCATTATGGACAATTGTGCTCAGGCAACTGCTATCTTGTCCTCTACACATACCAGAAACTGGGCTGTACCCAGTACATCCTATACCTATGGCAGGTATGGAGGTGCCAGACACCTTAAAGCCCAAGAACTGGAATCTGAGAATGGGATAGGAGACACATACCAGGCCATCATTGGCCCTTTCCTGTTATAGGGCCACCAGGCCACCATGGAAGACACCAAGGCTCTGAACTGCAATGCTGAGGAAGTGGACCTCATGTACCAGGGAGTGCTGGTGCAAGAACACGTGACCATGGGCAGAGAACCCCCCCACTTCCTGGCCATCTTCCAGGGACAGCTGGTGGTCTTCCAGGTATAGCCTACTGTGTTAGACTTTTTTTTTTTTAATCTCTCTGACAAAATACCTGACATAGAGGCTGGGGTGATGGTTCGGGAGGTAAAGTGATTGTCTTGCAAACATAAGGACCTGAGCTTGACCCCCAGGCACCCATGTAAAAATACTGGGCATGCATGGCATGTGCTTTTAATCCCAGCACTGGGGAGGTACAGACAGGAGAATCCCTGGGACTTGATGGCCAGCCAGTCTAGCCTCATTGGTGAGCTCCAAGCCAATGAGAGATCCTGCCTCAAAGGAAGAGGACAGCATTTCTGAAGATATCTGAGGCTGCCCTCTGGCCTCCACAAGCACACACATGAACATACATACATGCATATAAATATGCATAATAAAAAATACCTGACATAAACAGTTTAAAGGAGGAAGGATGATTCATTTTAGGTCAGCTTCGAGGTTTCATGGACCCTGGCTCTGTTGAATGTGTACCTGGATGAGGTGGCATACCATGGTGTCAAGGGCATGTGGCAGAGGCTGCTCACCTCATGGCAGACAGGAAGAAGAGAGAGGGAGAGAGAGAGGAAAAAAGGAAGGGACTAGAACTTAGGGTAGAGCCTTCAAGAGGAATCTTACAACAACCTGTTTCTTCTGGCTAGGCCCTAGCTCTTAAAGTTTCCACTTCCCCACAAACAGTATCAGCAAGCATTCAACATGAGCCTGTGGGGGACATTTCAGATGCAAACCATAGCAGGGCAGCAGCATTCTGAGTCCTCCATGTACACACATACATATTTGTAAACACCTGTTCTTAGGTCTGGCTTACCAGTTACTGGTTTCCTGGTACATGTTCCAAGGAGACCCCCTACTTGGAGTCTTCCCCTGGTCCCAGAACTAGATTGAGAGCACTGATGGGGAATCTGACTCAAAAGGGAAGCAGAGCCTTGCTTGTGGGGCTACACTCTGACAAGGCTGCCCTGCATGTTCCTTCTTAAGAGCTTTGTCCAGGGCCCCTAGAGATGGGTGACAAGTCAATTTTGTTTATTTTATTCATTTATTCCTATTTTATGTGTGTGTTTTACCTGCATGCATATGTGTACCTGTGTCATGCAATGCCCACAGAGGCCAGAAGAGGGTGTCGGATTCCCTGAAACTGGAGCTACAGATGGCCATTAGCTGCCATGTAGGTGCTAGGAACTGAACCCAGGTCCTCTGCAAGAGCAGCCAGAGCTCTTATTCACTGAGCCATCTCCAGCCCCCAACAAGTCCATTTTGAAAGGACCTATTTCCCTGTCCTCTGCTGGCAGAATCTCTACAGTCTATGCTTAGAGGGCTAGAAGACAGTGGTGGTCCCAAGCTGAGGCAGTTTGTCCCCAGTTGGGACAAGGAAGTGGTTCCCAGGACCCCTTGCCTTGGCCTGAGGTCTCACCTTCTTCTAGGGGATTGCAGGTGGCAAAGGGGGGAAGCCACAAACATCTGGCACAAGTCTATTCCATGTACAAGGCACCGACAACCACAACACCAGGACCATGGAGGTGTCAGCCCGTGCCTCTTCCCTCAACTCCAGTGCTATCTTCTTTCTGGTTACATCTGGTGCCTGCTACCTCTGGTTTGGGAAGGTACCAATGAATCATACCTGGGGACTAGGCCAGAGATGGATCCCTTTCACAGAGGATGCAGATTTTAAGTCCAATCAGAGATAGGCCAATGGGGATGAGGCTGGGGATGGCTTGAAGAGGCCAGGGGTCCCTGATGGAAGCTAGAGGAAGTTACAAAGTCAAAGGTAGACTGGATTCCTTGGGTCAGAGACAAACCCGGTGGAGTCTGCCTCCTTTCCTTCCTGCTTTGAACAGCAGACTTAGCAACTCTCTCTGGGAAAAGGAGAGGCCTAGCTTAGTATGCTTGAGTTTTCTCTGATCTTCAGCATAAACTGAATGATCCTAAAGCCTGGATGTCTTTAATTCATAATCTAGACTCAGAGAGGAAGAAACTGAAAAGGAGATCCCTTGTTCACTGCTGCCTTGCCTACAGTTTAGACCTCCTTAGTTCAGGGTTGCACAGACCCTGATGAATAGGACGGGGAACTGGAGGTGAAGGCCTGCCCCTGAAGTGCTTGACCCAGCCTCTGTGCTTGGACAGGGCTGTAACGGGGACCAGCGTGAGATGGCGAGGATGGTGGTCACTGTCTTCTCAGGGAATAACAAGGAAACAGTACTGGAGGGTCAGGAGCCTCCCCACTTCTGGGAGGCCCTCGGAGGCCGGGCCCCCTATCCCAACAAGAGGTAACAGGGTTGGGAGAGAGTATTCTTATCCTAAGGTGGAATGAGGCCCAGAGAATGTGGATGACTAATGAAAAGTCACACGGAGAGCTGGAGAGCTGACTAGAACTGAGGGACTCTCAGTCTTCCACCTCTAAGGGCTTAGGAGTCAAGCCCACCCACCAGTCTCTAGCCCTGAGCAACTTGGTCAGGAAAATGCCAGGGCAAACAGGGGGCAATGGCTCCCTCTGCTGGCAGAATCCACTCCCTGCATTACTACCGTCCTGGGCAAAGGGAAAAGCCACATCCTGCAACTACAGGATAAAGGACAGAGGGTGTGTAGGAGGTAAGGGCAGAATGAGGATTCAGGGAGGATGGATCTGAGTCCCAGGACACTGCACTCCACTCATGTCTTCTGAGTTCCCAGCCTTGCTTCCCTCCTCCTACTTTGGACCTGAGACCAGCTACCTGCCGTAGCTGAGCCCAGGGGACTCCCACTTGAAGAAGGACAGGGACTCAGCTCAGATTCTCCCTCCTGAGTCAGTGATCCCCATTCCTAATGCGTAGCCTGGAGCAGCTGGCTGGGGTTTGAAAATCTATTTTTCCCACTGAAAGAAAGGTACTCTGGGCCAGAGCAGGTGCTATTAGGGAGAACTTTGGGGTGGGTGGAGCTCAGAGGAAGACCCAGACCTTCTACCCCCAAAAAGCTGCTTCCCTTGGGATGGGGGCACACATACCAAGTGTGACCTAGACTGCACCCCTCACAACCCCCACTGGCCAGGCTTTCTGAAGAGGTCTCTAGCATCCAGCCCCGCCTGTTCGAGTGTTCCAGCCACATGGGCTGCCTGGTTCTCACGGAAATAGTGTTCTTTGGCCAAGAGGACCTGGACAAGTATGACATCATGTTACTAGATACCTGGCAGGAGGTAAGACAGCCACTCCCCACTTGACTGGAGTTGAATGCAGAGCGTGTCTGCATTTGTGTAACTGAGTGTGAGAGTGTGAGCCTAGCCTGTAACTGCGCAATAGTGTTGCCATACATTGAGAGCATGGTATGACTGGAAGATAGTAATATCTGTGATTGTGACAGTGTGTGAGTTATATGAATCTCTGTATCTGTGTGTGTGAGACTTCAGGTAACCAAGGGCCTATGGCTGACCACATGCTGGCAGTAGTAAGTGGAAGGACTGGCGGTATAGTATATGCGAGCTGATTCTGTTACTAAGCATTTGGCTTTGTAACTACGGCTGTGTCTGAGATAACCTGTGCCAATGACTGCATGGTTCAGCAAACTAGAATCAGCCAGATCAATTATAACTGGCCACTCTTCGTGTGCACGTGTGTATATGTGAGAAACAGGGACAATGGACCAGCTGTTGGTGTGACTAAGCTACTATACTGTGAGTCTGCGATTCTTTTGCTGTGTGAGAAGATGGTGTAACCAGTGGGGTATGCATGACAGTTAACCAAATTTGGCAGTGTCTGTGTGCAGACCTGTTTAACTTGGTGAATGACAATGTGGCTGTGATCTGCTGTCAGACAATGGACATTTGTATGTCTGTGTAGCTGTGATAATGTCTGTGGTACTCTGAGTTGGTAATGAGGCTGGGCGGGTCTCTCACTAGTCTGGACTATATCCTCCTGGCCAGCCCCAGTTCTTTAACCTAGCCTTCTCCCACTACACCTCTGGAGTCCTTCTTCAGCCACAGTGACCTTTTGCTGAGCCCTGAGCATGCCAGGCACATTTTACCTACCTACTTCACATTTACAGTGCCTAGTTCTCCCTATTGTCCCCAGATATACATGTGACTTGCCCCCTTATGAAGGGTCTATGGAGGCAGAGATTGTTGTTGTTTCAAGTCAGGGTCTTATAGCCCAGGCTGATCTTGAACTCATATAGCTATATAGCTTTGAACTTCTGATCCTCCCAACTCCACATCCCAAACGCTGGGATTACAGGCCTGTCCTATCTCATCCTGTTTATGGGGTCCTGGGGATTGAGCCCAGGGCTTTGTGTGTGTTAGTTAGGCATGCACACTACTAACTGAGCTGCATCTCCAGCCCCCTCCCCTCCTCTTTTGACAGACAGGGTCTCATGTTTCCCAGACTGGCCTCAAACTGGCAGTGTAGCCAAGGATGAATGACCTTCAATTTTTGATCCTCCTGTCTCCATCTTTGGAGTGTTAAGATGATAGGTGACACCATACCTGGTTTAGGGTACTCCATAGATATTTATAGATTGAACACATGCATGCACATTCGTGACTTTGTGTGTTCATGGGTTTATGGGCATGGCAGCTTGCTAAGTGAGCCTGCTTGGCCAGGGCTATGCATGCAGGTTTCTGAGGTCGTCTGATGACATGAGGTAGGAAGTTAGTGGCTGGCTCAGGCAGCCCCTCCACCAGATTCCCTTTGTGGCTAGATTTTCCTGTGGCTTGGGGAAGCTGCAGGAGAGCAGAAGAAGGAGGCAGTGGCCTGGGGCCACGAGTACCTGAAGACCCATCCAGCAGAGAGGAGTCTAGCCACACCCATTGTGCTGGTCAAGCAGGGCCATGAACCTGCCACCTTCACCGGGTGGTTTGACACTTGGGACCCCTACAAGTGGACGGTGAGGCCTGACATCCCCAGTCCCATCTTGATCTAGGAGGAGACTGGGAGAGCCCTGGCGGAGGACCTCCCAGGTGTGGGAGGGTAACCTGGCCTTATCCTTTTAGCTCCCCTCCTGGGCTTCAGAGGTGCTCCCTTACCTTGCCCCAGTCCTGCTAACAGCCCTGATTCTTGCCCCCAGAACAACCAGTCCTGTGAGGAAGTAGTAGAGTGTAGCCTGGGACCAGGATCTGCCATCACTGAGATAACAACAGTGAGTGTTCTCCTTGTCGACCCCCTCTCAATGACCTGGGCTCAGATGATGGGGTCCAGAGGGGGTGGGAGCAGGAGCCAGGTCCTAGAAGGGGTACAGATGGTGCCAAGAGGCCTGTGGGTTCAGTGTGATCTCTGGTGGGTTGCCTGTTCCCAATCTTCCCTAGCCTGAGGCCTCTCTCTGGACAGGAAGTCAGTAACTTCCAGCTAACCCAGTGGCCCAAAGATAGCAGAGCAGGTCTCAACCCTGCGAGCCCTCAAGGGTTCACAGGACAGCTCAGAGAATGGGCTGGAGCTGGGACTCCAGAATGAGGGCAGGAGCCCCAGCGTCAGCACCAGCAGCAATTGCAGCTGCGCCAGCTTAGCAGCCAATGGAAGCCTGCCTCCGGAACAGCTGATGCACCAGGCTGTGGAGGATCTGCCACCAGGGGTGGACCCTGCCCGCAAGGAGGTGGGCATCAGACCCTGCTGCTCTCAGCCACAGACCCAATGAGCTAACTCTGCACTCGAGAATCCTAGGGTACTGTGTGCCCATGGTAGCCACAGCAGGCTTCTTTGGGAAACGTGTTCTAGATGGGCAGTGGACAGATGGGCAAAGCCTGGTACTGATGACACCTCTGGGTGGGGCAGGACTCTGGGCTCCAGTAACTCCCATTGCTCCTCCATCTCCCACCCCAGTTCTATCTCTCAGATTCTGACTTCCAAGACATCTTTGGAAAATCTAAGGAGGAGTTCTACAGCATGGCCAAGTGGAAGCAACAGCAGGAGAAAAAGAAGCTGGGCTTTTTCTGAAGTGGGAAGTCCTTGCTTACCACACCCCCAGCCTCCTCCTGGGACCCCTCTCCCTTCTCAATAAAAGCCAGTGGTTGGCATCACAGTGATATATGTGCCTCCAAGCCGGACTGCCCGGTGGGGTCCCCCTCTCAGGAGCAGGTCCCTGTGGTGCTCCAGACTGTCCTCCTCCATAGAAGGGATCCCTTCCAGCTGCTCCCTTCAGATGAATCCATGGACACAGGAAGAGGCACACATGTAGGCTTCACAGAATTTTTCTGGTGTCCACACTAAGAGACCACAAGGCTTAGTCTTGTGAATTTTATAAAAATTCTCAACCTAAAGCCGGCTGGAGGGTGGGGAGAGGGCTGTAGTGTTGTTCCTGGACAGCTCCTGGGGCTCCCGAAGAGGCAGCAGCACAGGTAGTGTGTTAGAACCGAAGGCAGTTCAGGGACTCTAGCTCCGCACCAGAGGTTGGAACAGCAATACCAGCCCTGGCTCAAATGTAGACAGAGGCTGGTCCACTCATGGTGGACCTCACTGGATCTCCAGACCTAGTCCTGGAGGGCGATCTTCACAAAGAGGGTGGCTGATGGATGTTGATCTCCATTCTTGGACAAGAGGTGGACATGGCGATATCCTGGTGGGAAGGACAGCTCTAGTCAGTCAGAGAGGATGCTCAAGGGATAGCAAGCTGTAGGCCAACAGAAACCAAGCCCTTCCTCCTGTTCCTGGCTGGCCCTCCCTCGGACCAACACTCACCCTGCTTGAGGCTGTTCCAGGGGATGGTACTCTGGCCAATAAAGTCATTCTTAGAAGAAGCATCATAATCTTCTACTACAAAGCGCACGAGGGCCAGGTCAGGCACGGCTACCTCAAACTCGAACTCTGTGTCCCACCATGGGTTGAAACCTAGAAGGACAGGGACCATATCAACAGCAGGGACACAAGTACCAGTAGTCTGGCCCAACCCAGGCCCAACATATACATACCATTATTGGTGATAACTGCAGTCTGGCGGCTGGCCACGTCCCGGCCCACACCATGGATCTCCACTGTCACCTTGGGGTCCACAATTGAATTCTTATTCTTATTGACTTTTGGCAGTTGCTGTCCAGAGATAATCTGAGGAGAGGCAGAGACAATGAGAGTTCAGGAATGGCAGTGAGGACAAAGTAAGCTCCACGGGCACTTGTCCCTCCTGTGCCTGGCCATGCCCAGCCATACCCGAACGCGGAGCTGCTTCCGAGCCCACCAGGGCCCCTGAGTCAGGGCACGTGAGTTGAAGTTAGTGTTAGGATCTCTCAGGAAAGCAGGTTTCAGCACGTACCCACAGGCCCCATTGTCCTGGAAGCGGCCCAGGTACACGTCCATCTCTGATCCAGGGGTTTGGAAGTTCAGAGCCACTAGAGGTGGGACAAACAAGTCACATGCTGTGTACTGGCCTTGGGGTCCTAGAGGCCTGCTCAGGTTACACTGAGGTCTAGGGTCCTATGTGAGTTAGAAGCAGGATCCAACATCCCTCATGTTCTGTATCTCTTCAACCACATGAACTGACCCACTAAACTGACCACACATTCCATCTCTTTGTATGTGTGTGGTGTATATGTGTAATATATGTGTATACTCAAATGGGTGTGTGCACATGTAAGTACATGTGGAGGCCGGAGGTCAATGTTGGGTGTCTTCAGTTGCTCTCCACTTTAATTTTTGAGATTGAGCCTTTCACTAAACCTACAGCTCACCAATTCTGCTAAGCTGGCTGGCCAGTGGGCTCTAGAGACAACCCGTCCTCCATGCTGGAATTACAGATGTGTGCCCCCACTCATGGCTTTCTACATGGGTTCTGGGGAATCCCAACTCAGGGCTTCATGCTTATGTGGCAATCACTTTGCTGACAGCCATCTTCCCAGCCTGTTTTATTGTTTTTTGAGGAAGGGTCTCATGTAGTAGCCCAAGCTGGCCTTGAACTCACTATGTAGCTAAAAATGACCTCCAACTCTTGATCCTGTACTCCCAGCTTCATGTATGCTAGGCAAGCACTCTAACAGCTGTGATACACTCTCAGCCCCACACATCCCATTTCTGATGGCAAAGTTCAAAGGGGTGGTATGCACTCCAGACACAGACTTGTTGTGTAGGTAGTATTTCCATGCCCATCTCATGGCTTGCATCCAACCCTGGTTAGATCTCCAGACCTCTCATCTCATGGCCTTCATAATTCCAGGTGTCTGGTCCACACGACCAAGGGCTCTTTCTAATCTCCCTCCAGTCCCAGGTGGCTCATACCGATCTGGCAGCCCCCATTCCACATTTCCACAGGGCTGTAGTTAGAGGAGTCTGTCCTCCATCCAGCTGGGTAGATCCTGCTCAGGTGGCCCACATTATGGCGAACAAAGCCATTTCCTGAGAAGAGGTAGGGATGGGTCAGCAGTGAAGGCCTCCTAGTGGACCCAAGACCTTCCTGGCCAGTTCTGTCCAGACTTGGGTCCACTACAGGGGCAGAGAGCAGGTCCAACCTTGACCAGTCCGGATGGCCAGGACTGTATGCCTTCAAGAACAGGGGCTCACCTGACTCTTGGAGCAGCCGGAGGGCACGGTTTTCAGAGAATGAGGCCATCTCATAGAACGCCTGCCCAGAGGTGTTAGGACCAGAGAAGCCACCAAAGTGGACGCTCTTGCAGTAAATGACCATGTCAGAGAGTTCTGGAACAAGCCTGAGCTTATCCTCCTGGGGGCCATGGGAAGGCCCAAGTTAGAGCCAGAGGGTGGGGCAGCGTGAGCACTGAATGCCAGAAACCCAGGTAACAGAGAGAGAGAAACAGAGACAGAGAGGCAGACAGACAGAGACAGGGGGCAGAGGGTCTGAATGGCAGCCTCAGAGAACCAAGACAAGGTAACGGTCCCATGGGCAATGGCAGTAGGTAGAGCCTGGGGCTGCCCCCCACCCACAGCTTCCTCCAGAACCTTGGGCTTGTGCTGCACTCGGCTCCGTACAGCCTCATCTTCCATCTCAGCAGCCTCATCTTCATCAGACACATCAGTGGCCTCAGGGCCGTCTCCCCCTCCAATAGGTAGTAGCCCTCCAAACTTTTTCCCTTTCAGCAGGATCTTGCCCTTCAGTTGCTAGGGATGGAGGGACAACTGGTCAGGACCCATCTGGCCACCCAGACCAGGTACCTTCCCTGACTTCAAGGCATCCTAGTCCCCATCCCTGTACCTCAGGGGAAGGCAGGCTCGTGGTAACCCCATCCAGTGGCCGGTCCAACAGCATGGACCCTAGGATGGTCCTCAGATGACGGGCCATTACTCGCTGCTGTTCCAGGCTGCAGTGGTTCTCCAGTGACAGGATGACTGGGTAGGGGGATGCCTGGAGGCCCCAAGATGCATTAGAAGGGACTGTTTACCCCTAGCATCCTCTCCTCACCCCCATGGGCACACCCAACCTTGAAGGCATAGTCCCGGATGGCCCTGAGCACGTCACAGAAGAGAATCTTAGAGGTGAAAGTGTAGCCATGGTAAATGATGGGCTCCTGGTTGGGCCCATCCCAGCAGTCGAGCTCCAGGCAGCGGCAGCCTTTGCACAGAGCCCTGCAGGGAGGGATGACGGCTGGGCTAGGACCCTCCAGGTCCTGTCCGGGCTCCCACCCTGACTTGCCCTTAAAGTTTCCTGGCCCGCACCGGATGTAGGCCTCCGTGCTGCTGGGGCCTGTGATCTGGTCTTCCAGCAGGTAGGTGTTGTGAGATGAGGACACTAGATAGTGGCTGAGCGGCTGGTCCATGTCCTGGTAGACGCGTCGATGTGCTAGGCTGAAGGCACTGCCATCAGCCGATAGCAGATACATGAGGAAGCCGTCCTTGGTCATTTGCCGCTGAGCCTTGGCTAGAGAGGAAGGAGCCAACGTTGCAAGTCAGAGCTGGCTGCCCTGGGTGTCTTGTGGCTGCCCACCACCATGGAAGAGGAGCCCTTTCTCTGCTCTGCTTGCCTACCCATCCTCTGCTAGTCTGCAATTCTGGGGAGCAGAAGTCTCGGTCTCCTAGTGAGGCTGTGGTTACAGTGTGGTGCAGACCTGTCTGTTCCTCTTCTTCTGTCCTTTTATTCTAGAAGCTTCAAAAGCAGGGTGTCCTCTCCTTCTCTGCTCCCCCAGAGTATGTGAAAATGGGTATTGAATATAGGGTCTTAAGCACTCTAGCACTAAGCTGTAGCCCCAACCCTCTTTTCACTTTGTATTTTGAGACATGGTCTCTTTAAGTTGCCCAGGCTGGCTTTGAACTATATAGAGCAAGACTCCATCTTCCCTAGGCCATGTTTCAAAGCTGGATCCAGAATACACATGGAGAAGGCAGCAGAGGCTTTCTCAGCCACTTCTATGTCTTGGGGAAGTTCCTTAAAGGAGGAACTGAAGGGAGGTGAGGCCCAGACAGGGGCAAGGATGCTAGAGCCCTCTTGTCCATCCACCTGCTTTCACAGGATGGCCACACACTGACCATCCTCACACACTGACTGGTCCTCCAGCCCCATTCTGTCTGTCTGAGGTTCCCTCGGGTGGGGTTCCTGAGTCGTGTGACCCTGGGACTGCCAGGTCCTCACCAGTTTCATTGGGCTCATAGCGCTCAATGAGGGACAGGGCCAGTGCTGGCCCCGCTGCCTCCTCCCTCTGCTGATGCTGCAGGAACGTCACTAGCTTATCCACTGTCAGGGTCTCGGAGGAGCCCGCAGCTTCCGCAAAGGCTCGGTCAATCTCGTCCCGCTGGGTTAGCATCCTGTAGAAGGCCTCAATCTCTTCATCCTCCAGCGAGTCTGTCTGGGAGTGGTCACATTCCTGCAAAGCCAGCAGAGCTGGTGAGCAGGGCTCAGAGCAGGCCTTGGGAAAGGAGTAAAGCCCCTCTGCCATGCGGAGCCAGCTCACCCTGAAGATCTTCCGGGCATAGTTGTCGTCCACCTGTATGTTGAGCTCCTTCAGGAAGTTCTGCAGCTCCTTGAAGCTCATCTTGTTGTCCTTGTTTTTGTCAGCTTTTCGCAAGCAGGAGTGAATCCAGCTGGGCAAGACGTAAGGAAAGAACCCAGCAAACCTGATACCCACCAAAGCCCCAGCCATGTGAAGACACAGACACCTGTGGACATGGCTCCCTGCAGGACTCAAATCCACACAGCAGAGCAAGATGTGGCAGCTTTTGCAGGAAAAAGTTGCATCCTATTGGGGGCCCTTCCCTTCCATCCCCTCCCCTCCCCTCCCCTTCCCCTTTCCCTTCCCCTTCTGTCCCCTCTCCTTTCCCTCCCTCCCCTCCCCTCCCCTCCCTTCCTCTTCCTTTTCCTTCTTTTTTTCCCTCTTTTTTGTGTCTGTTTGGTACTGGGGATTGAATGTGGGGTCTCACACAAGCATTCTACTATTGAATATTCTATCTCCAATTCTTTTTTAAAATTTTATTTATTATTTTAATTTTATGTATGTGCATGTATTGCCTGCATGTAGGTAAGTGCACCCGTGCCGTGCAATGCCCACTGAGGTCAGAAGAGGCTGTCGGATCCCTTGGGACTGGAGTTATGGACAGTTGTTAGCTGCCATGTGGGTGCTGGGATTTGAACCCGGGTTTTCTGCAAGAGCAACCAGAGATCTTAACCCCTGAGCCATCTCTCCAGCCCCCAATTCCTTTTAACTTTGTACTTTGATACAGATCTCATTAAGTTGCCCAAGCTGGACGTGAATTCATTTTTAAGGCTTTGTTTGTTTGTTTGTTTACTTATTTGTATTAGTGTTTTGACTGCATGTCTATAAGTATACCATGTATGTGACTGGTGCCTGTGGAGACCAGAAGAGGGTGTCAGGTCCCCTGAAACTGAAATTATGGATAGTTGTTAACCACCACATAGGTGCTGGGAACCATACCTGGGTCCTCCTTTCAAAATCTTGTTTGGCTTCTTTGCAAGAAATTGGAAAACTGATCTTAAAATACATATGGGAAGTCAAGGGACCCAGACTGGCCAAAACAATCTTTCAAAACAAAGAACAAATTTGGAGGACTCACACTTCCTGATTTCAAAGCTTACTACAAAGTTACAGGAGCTAAAACAGTGTGGTGCAAGGATGTTGTACTCGGGGACGTAGAGACAGACAGAGATGTGGAACAGAGCTTAGAGTGCAGAGTAAGTCTCCTTGTTTACAGTCAACAGATCTCTGACAATGGTGTCAGAACAAACCAATGAGGCAAGAATAGTATTTTCAGGCCCATGATTTGACACAGTGGGTAAAGGTATGTATCACCAGGTTTGGCCACCTGAATTCAGTTCCTGGGACCATATGATAGAAGCAGAGAACCAACTTCTACAAGCTGTCCTCTGACCTCCACACAGCACCATGGCAAGTGTGGATGCATGAATAAGTAAATGTAGTTAAAAATAATTCCAAAAAAAGAACAATTTTTCAACAAACAGTGCTGGAACAACCGTATATCTAACTGCAAGAAGAAAACAAACTAGATTACCTAGCTCACACCACACACAAAAATGAACAGAAAATGGATCTGAGACTTAAATGTAAGAGCTGACACAATAAGACCCTTGAGGAAAATATGAGTAAATTTTCACTACTTTGAACTATGCAAAGCCTTCATCGCAAAAAGCACAAATAACAAAGGGAAAAACAGAATAAGTAAAAATGTTTTCTAAAAACAGATTGAAGGAATCATCTCTTGTGAAACCGAAGTTACACTGAATCAAAACTAAAACCTTTTAGTTTTGCTTCAAAAATACTATCATGATAAAGATAACCCACAGAAAAGGAGAAACTGCAAAATCTATACCTCATTAGACTTATGTCTGGAACATATGAAGAGTTTTCCTTACAATTCAGTAAGAAAAGACAAAGAACCCAATCCCAAAAGGGGCAAAGAACCTTAAAAAATATTTCTCCAAGGAAGACATACTGAAGGGGCTGGGGAGATGGCTGAGTATGCATCTTGCCGAGCAAGCATGAGGAACTGAGTTCAGTATCCAGAGCCCATGTAAAAACACAGTCATGGTGGGATCTACCTGTAATCCAGAACTAGGGAGGCAGAGACAGGATCACTGGGACTTGCTGGCCAGCCAGTCTAGCCAATTAGCCCATCAGTGAGTGCCAGGTTCAGTGAGAGATCCTGTCTCAAACAAATAATGTGGAGCTGTCCTCCAAGGCTCAGGGATCATCACAGAAGACGAGGCAGAAAGATTGCGAGAGCCAGAGGAGGTAGACGATCACAAGGAAAACAGAGTTTTCCAGCTGGGCTGGGTTCATATGAACTCACAGCAATGCTGACAGCATGCACAAGTTCCATGCAAGTTCACACTAGACAAAATTCCAGCACAGACGTGGGGAAGTCAGTAAAAAACCCCAACACTACCCGAGGAACTATTGGTAACCAATGGCTGCTGGGAGGGGGAGAGTCAGTCTTAAGAGTGAGACTCTTGGTAGGTTGACCAGGCTCCAGTGGATGGACTCACACTGAAGGACATTTGGGGATACAAATTAGATTCTATATTACATTAAATTTGGCAGGGGGTGTAGTAAGGGGAGGTGCAGATAGGGTGAGGATCTAAATATGATCAAAATACACTGTATGAAAATCACAAAAATCCAATTTTAAAAAATGGAAAAAGGTGGAGAGTGACATCTGATGTCGACCTTTTGTCTTCATATGTATGTGCACACAGACCACACAGACACACACACATGGAAGGTATACAGAGGCATCTAGAAATACTCAACATCACTAATCATAAGGGGAAACTCCAGTGAGAAGCTACCTCACACTCACTGGAGTGACGACTGTAAAACATACAAACAAAACCCAGACAATATCAAGTGTTAGTGAGATTCAGGCAAACTGGAACCACCATGCGCTGTGTTTGAGTAAAAAACCGGACAGCTGCATGGAAACATTAGGATGGTTCCTTTAACACTGGTAAACAGAACTACCACATGGTTCCACAATTCCATTTTTGAATACATACCCAGAAGAAATGAAACAAGATGTCAGAGATATTTGTGTGCCCATTTTCACAGCAGTATTATTTATGATAGCCCTCAAAATAAAAGCAACCCAAGTACCCATAATGGCTGAATGGAGAAATAAGATGTGGTATAGACATACTGCGGAATATTATTCAGCCTGAAAAAGGACAAAACATTTTCATGCTACAACATGCATGAGTTTTGAGAATATTAAGTGAAGTAAACCATCACGAAAATAGATACTGTTGGAGTCCACTCATAGGCAGTACCTAGAGTAGTTGTATTCATAGAGAAAGGAACTAGAATAGTGGTTGTCAGGGGCCTAGGGATGGATGAATGAGGAATTAGCATTCAATGGGTATAACTTCAGTTTTGCAAGATGAACAGAGTTCCAGAGGTTGGTTGCAACACAATGTGATTGCACTTTACACTCCTGAATTAAACACTTAAAATGGTTAAGATATTCTCCAAACTAAATTGATCTCTGTATCCAGAAAGAGCTTGTGTCTTTACATTAACACTTCGTGCCTTCAGGAAATTTAAAGAAAAAGAAAATTATGATCACCATCTCAAAAAAAAAGGTTAAGATATTAACATTTATGTTATATGAATTTTATCAAAATAGAGAGCAAAAGGAAATAAGTTGTGGTGGTGCACACCAGTCATTCCAGCACTTGAGATGCTCAGGACTGTGAGTCCCAGGCAAATCTGGGCTACCCTAAATGGTAAGAGAGGTAAAGGCACTCACCACCAAGTCTGACAACCCCAGTTCCATCCCTGGAACCCACATGGTGGAAGGAGAGAACCAACTCATGCAAGTTGTCCTCTGATTTCCACATGCGAGCTATGGCACACATGTACCCACACATATGCTCACGTAATTTTAAAACATGAACTAAACAAATAAACAAATAAATAAATAAATAGATCTACTTTTAAAAAGCTTAACAACCACAAAGTGGACAAAGAGTATAGAGAAGATATACAAATGACCTATAAACACATGTAAAAATGCTCAGCTATTAACCTTGTTTTTTGAGACAGGGTTTCTTTTTTTTAATTTTTTTATGTGTACGCATGTATTGCCCACATGTAGGTAAGTGCACCCTAGTCGTGCAATGCCTGAGGAGGACAGAAGAGGCTATTGGATCCCCTGGAACTGGAGTTACCGACACTTGTTAGCTGCCATATGGGGCCGAGATTCGAACCCGGGTCTTCTGCAAGAACAGTCAGTCTCCAACAGAGTTGGAGAGCCAACTCTCCAGCCCCGAGACAGGGTTTCTTACTGGCCTGGAACTCACAATTAATTAGGCTAGGCTGGTTGGCTAGGAATCCCCAGGGACCCACCTGTTTCTGCTTCTGCTTCCTCAGTGCTGGGATTATAAGCTTGTTCACGACATCTGGCTTTTTACATGTATTCTGAGGATCAAACTCAGGTCTTCATGCTTCCATGACAAGTGCTTTACCAACTGAGCCATTGCCCTGACTTTAGCTTCATCACTTGTGTTAATTTTATGGTATGTGAATTCTCTCTCCATAAAGCTGTCATAAAAAGGAATCTTTCCTACTTCCCTTCTGCCATGGATGGAATTATGTCCCCCTAAAATTCATATTTGAAGCTCTAACCCCCAATATGATATTCCAATATTACCTTTGGAAGGTAATTTGGTTTATATGAGGTCATGAGGGCAGGGCCCTGATGAGAGGATCAGTGCCTCTTAGGAAGTGCTTTTTCTCTACTTCATGTGAGGATATAGTGAGAAGGTAGCCATCTACAAACAAGGGAGAGGGTCCTCACCAGAACTGACCATTCAGACTTTCAGCATCTAGAACCATGGAAATAAACTTGTGTTGAGACACCCAGCCTATGTGTGATGTGTAATCTTCAGTGTCAACTTCCCTGGATTTTGAATCACCTAGGAGACACACCTCTGGATGTATCTTTGGGGGACTATCCAGAGTTTAAATGAGAAGGGAAGACCCATTTAAATGTGGGCCACACAGTTCCATGGACTGGCGTCCCAGGTCAAAAAAAGAGGGAAAAGGAGAAAGTGAGCTGAGTACCAACATTCATCTTCCTCTGCTTCCTGACTGCAGATACAATGAAACCAGCTGTCGCATGCTCCCACCACCATGCCTTTCCCACCATGATGGACTGTATTCCCTCAAACCATGAGCCAGAGCAAACCCTTCCTCCCTGAAGTTGCTTTTGTCAAGTACCACAGTCACAAAAGTAACTAATAAACTCTGGTATTTTGTTATGGCAACCCAAAGTGACTAAAACCTCTTCCATAGTTGGCCAGACTACACAAGGGAAACTGCTGCCTGTCCACAGGCCAGCCCCGGGCCCACTGTCACCTAAAGGATACTGCTGTAGCTTCTGTCTCTGGTTCATGGAGCCTGAGTGATGGATGATCTTGCGCAGGCCCTGCACCCAATGCTGGACATCAGCTGATGACGGGGCAATGAGGTCCAGTGTATTGCGCTGGTCCTTGAAGACAATGGAGAAGCAGCGGTCCTCGGGCACATCACGTGCAAACTTCTCCAGGCCTTCTGTGCGGCGTCCCATCCGTACCTCTTGAATGTCCTCGATGGAGACTACAAGGGGATGAGAGAGCAGAGTACATTGTGAGACCAGGCCTCAGACACAGCCAAGGACACAGGGGAGAGGGGCATAGCTTAGAGATACCGCCAGGCTTGTGGCTCAGACCTTGAGTCCAGAAAGAAGGGAGAGGAGCCACAGGGCAGAGGAGTGGGGACTAAAAGGAGAAAGATTGAAGTGGAGGCAGTGTAGAAACACATAGGAAGGGATAGAGACAGAGATCTTAGGATAGGAAGGGCAGCAAGGGCCCAGGCCCATGGTCTCAGTAATGGAGGAAGCAGGCGCTGGGAGAAGACAAGGGCAGAACAGGCCTCTTAGATGGGGAGGGGCCATTCTGGGGCTTGGTGCCAGTGACAGAAATGGGCCACACACTTTCCTCATTGTACTGGACTTTGGACCCCCTCAGCCATGAGAGTCTCTGGGCCATTCTGCTGACCACTCAGGAAATGGATGGCCACTCTTAGTCCTGATCCTAGGGTCTGGGACATAAGCCCAAAGCTAGAGAAAAAAGTGCTGTATACACTCTCAGTTCCAGCTTCAGGGAGCCCCTCGACAGAAGGGTCCAGGAAGGTCCTCCCCTCCAGGGCACCAAGACACAGAGTGGAGGGTGCCCCTTGGGGGTCTTAGAGATGGCATCATTTTGCCCTTAGGATCCTGAGGAGGGTCCTCTCATCAAAGCCAGCGTTCCAAGATTCAGGGAGAAATAAGACCCTATGTGCCACCATGACAATGTGCCCTCTACAGTCTGACTGAGAGCCCACCTCATGCTAAGCCTCCCCACAGCAGGATCCAGGATTGCCCCTACCCCACTCCATATTGAATCCTAAAGCAGCTCTGCCTGGAAATCAACTTGTCCCTCCCCAAGCCTCCCTGTCTTGAGTGCCCAGGGGCCTCCCAGTCACCTGCAGGCCCACATGTGTGGCATGTGCCCAGCCTGGGCCACAGCCTCTGAAGAGTGGGACACATGAGCCCTGCACCATCTGTGGTGCAGAGTGTATTCCTGCTTAATCCCTCTCTGCCTTGCTAGGCAGCTAGAGCCACCCTGGGTGAGGAGTGAAAACAGGAAGCTCAGGCCATGGAGCCCCCAGGGCCAACGCCTTCACTGACTGGGAGGGAAAGGACGGCTGCCTTCACTCAGCTGATAATAGTCAACTAGGAACCAATTTTAGGGTATGCCACTCAAGAGAAATGGGGGGATGTGCCGCTCCTCCATCACCTGGACTCAGTTTCCCCAAGGGCAAGGTACAGCAGAGGCCCAGAAAAGATCAGTACAAACACAGCCTGCTCAACATGAGACCTGTCCCAGGCATCTGAGTTGGAAGCAAGCCTTTCAATGTGCTCCTCACCTGAGCACAAGGGCACTCTCTGCCCGTGGATCTGTCACCTGAATGGTCCCCCTCTCAGCCTGGCTTCCTCACCTCTGCTCACATGAAAGACTTTCCCCACCCACCCCAGTATGAGGGAGGGCTGCTGCTGGAAGGGCATGGGGAGGGTCCTCCTCTTATTCCTACTCCCTCACCCATCCCCTTCCAAGCACCAAGTGCACACATGAATCCATGCACATGTATTCATAGGCAGTAGGACCCAGGAATCCCCACAGCTCCAATGAAAGACCCCTGTTCCCACCATGTCCCCATCCATCAGCAGCTAACAGGAAGCCCTGTATCAAGGCAGAAGCCCAGTATAGGAGCCTGTCTGGAGCCACAGACAGGGGCAAGGTCAGGGATCACTCCTGTGCTGGGAGGCAGCAGGGGTAGAGGCAAGCTCAGGGTGGTATTCTTTTTTCTTTGCTCTTTTTTTGTTTGTTTTGTTTTGTTTTTTTTTGTTTTGGAAACAGTGTCTCATGTATGCCAAACTGGTCTTGAACTCGATGATGGTTGAATTTTTAATGCCCCAGCTTCTACTGCCCAAAGTACTGAGATTACAGGCTTATGCCACCACATCCAGTTTATGTGGTGCTGGGGATTGAACCCAGAGCTTCATGCATGTTAGGCAAGCACTCTACCAACTGAGCTACTTCTCTCCCACTGTGAAGGTAGCTGAAGCAAAAGGATCAGGAGTTCATCCTATGGAAAAGCTTGGAGTCCCACCCTCAGCTACACAGTGAGTTTAAGGCCAGCCTGGGCTATGTGAGATCTTGTCCAAAACAACAATGAACAGGGGCTGGAGAGATGCTCAGCAGTTAAGAGCACTAGCTGCTCTTACAGAGGACCCAGGTTTAGTTCTCAACACCCACATGGTGGCTCATAGTCATCCCTAACTCCAGTTCCAGGAGATCCAGTACCAAGGGATCCAACGCCCTCTTCTGGCCTCTGTGGACACTGCATGCAGATGGTACAGTTACATACATGCAGACAAAACAGTCATATACAAGAAAATAAAATATAAAAATAAATAAAATAGATATAAATATGAATGAAAACATAAATCCCGCAAAATTATATATTACATATCATTATATATATTTTACATATTACATATATATTAGCTAAAATGAAATAAAAGTTAAAACCCAGTTCCTTGGTCACAGTGGCCACATGTCAAGGGCCCATTAGCCTCTTGAAGTGATGGTTCCCATACTGCAGGCAGGGGGCCAGTTCCATCCTTACAGAGTTCTACTGGCGACACTGGTCTAACATGTCCCCACCAGTAAAGGTGCCAGAACTTTCGGGAGTTCTTGAATTAAAGGACATGTCTACAAAGCTCCTCTAAAACCTTTCAGACCTTCTCCATTTGTAAACCCACCCCCTCAACTTTGGGTTCCTGAGCCTTTACAGAAGCTCTCAGAAAGACTACAGGGCCACAGTCTCATGGGAGTGTCCCAGCCCTGGGCTCTCTCTGAGTCTCAGTCCTGCTCCACCCTAGCCTTCCAAGGCTCTAATTCCAGGAGAGCTCAGTCTTCTGAGCCCCACCTCACACACTGGCCACTGATACCCGGAAGTGTCTTATCTGTCTCCGGACTTTGGGCCTAGCTTTTGGCCTGCCACACCTGGAGGGCTGACCTGCCTACTTTTCCTCCTGCCATAACTGCCTAGGCAACACCTGTGAGTTCAAACAATCTTGTCCAGCTCTCCTTGCTGTTCCTCACCTGTGGTCATAGTTATATATCCCCAACCCCAAATTCCTTTAGCTCCCATGATTGCCCTCTATGACCTCTATGACCATTGTAGGCCTCAGTTTCCCCACAGGTGATTTAACTGGCACTTTTCCCTAACCCTAGCCAGCCTAACCCTCCTCATTTCAGGCCTTTGTTGCATGAATGGTCCGTGCTGGACAGGACTTCAGTTTCCCCATCTGTAGTTATGGTCCACTCTACCCCATCCACACCCTACCCCTTCCCTGTGGCCCAGGGCACTCACACAGCTGGGACTCTGGGGACCTCATGACCTTGCGGGACTCCTGCCAGATGGTCTTGCAGTCCTCCTGCAACTTGTAGAAGCGCTCTCGCCGCCATGAGCTGGACTTCACCTTTAGGAGCTGGCTGCCTTTCAGCAGGGCCTGTAGGTCCTGGTCATCCTGCAAGCCTGAGAGAGTCAATGCTAGTGAGATGCCACTTCCTCCACCAATGTCCCTCCTGCCTGCAGCCCCAGCTGGTCTTGTGGATTTCTGTACCTTGTCAGAGCCCACTTTCATCAGCCTCATCCTCAGCTATATGTCTCCCTCCTTTGCCCACACAGAAGTTCCCCTAAGCCCTCACTCCTTCAGGGAAAATCTTTCCGTACCTAAGAAGAGCTTTCCTGCACACTGCCCCCCCCCCACACTTAACACTGAACCCAGGGTATTTTCACAGGAGAGGCAAGTATTTTACCACTATGCTACATTCTCCTCCCCTCTATCCTTAAGCACTGTAATCTGTCCCCAAGATCTGGATGAACAGCTAGTTCAAGAATCAGTGGTTCCTGGGAGAGCAGGACCCTAGGAAATGGCCTGACTCCGAGTAAAATGAAATGAACCTCAGGCCTTCATGGAGCCAAACCTCCCACTTTCAATGTCTCCAGAGTCATTTGTGCCTTGGTTCAGACACTCTTTCTGACCAGATATGTGACTTGGGCAAGTGACTTCATGTGGTTGGTTTTTGTCATGTGGTTGGCATTGTCTATCAAATGGGATCATCCTGGGAATGGTGGTGCACACCTTTGATCCCAGAACTCCAGAAGCAGAGGCAGGCAGATCTCTATGAGTTCAAGGCCAGTCTGGTCTACATAGTGAGTTCCAGGTCAGCCAGGGCTACATAGTGAGACCCTGTCTCAACACACACACACACACACACACACACACACACACACACACACAAATAATAACGTGCATCTTAGAGGAGAGTTCCATGTTTAACTGAATGCATGAATCACCGGTCTCAAGGCCAGAGCAGCTTTACTTCTTGGGGCAAACCTTATGGTTGCTGTGAGACCCTTGGGCCTATTTCAGCTAGTCTCTTCCTGTGTACCCCACCCTTGACTACAGTCTACTTGAGTGATCTCTGATCTTCATCCTCAGAAGAGAATGATGAATCCACTATGGATCATATTTGACCTGCTGGAATGGCCCTGTCCCTTCCTCCCCAGTCCCTACCATAGAGGACCCTGGGTCTGGGATCCCTCAGTGTACTGTTAAGGCAGACCTCAGTCTTTTTAGGGCCCATAGGGAGGACAGAACCCTGACTAGTTGTCTCTCTCCCGCTCAGGTCTTATGCTGTTCTCAGAGAAGCAGAGTGCCTTGGGTTATGGATTCCCAAAGATTCAATGACTTTTCTCTTGACAGACCCAGATGGGAGGCACCAGAGAACACTAAGCCTGGTCCCTCAGGAGTCCTCATCTGCAAACAGATCTTGTACCAAGGGTGATGAAGGAGATCTCCTCCCTGTACCTTAATAACTCATCAATGTGATCCAGATGTAGATACACCTATAAGGTGGTATGTGCACATGCACACAAGTGTGTCTATGCCACCCTCACCACACACAGTTCAGCAGCTAGCTTTCTTCAAATTCAATTGGCCACCTCACTTCTGTACCTAAAACTATATGGCCCAACAGAATAGTGGTATCAGGGATTTTAGCTGTCCCATTTGAGGGGCTGGAGTGTAAGCCTGTGTTGGAGAGTCCTCACAAAACCATAGGCTTCTTTGAGCCCAGATCGTCCACCCGTGATATCCAGTTTTTCCATGTTCTTTGCTTCCCGGACTGACTTTTCCACATGATCTGCAGGCCTGAACTGCTTCCCTGGGCCTCAGTCACCCACATCTTCCTTATCTCTCCTCAGGCTCCTAGTTCTAATTGGGAGTGATCCCCGAGCTAACATCCACCCTCGATGGCTTCAAGAGACTCCTTTCCTCCCTCTGCTTTTGTTCCCTCATCACACCTTGGGGAGAACGCTATCAGAGAAAGAATTCCTGGACTGCAGAGGTGATGGTCATGTCGCATGCCCCCACCTTCATCCCAGGTGTGCCAACTCACTTCCAGAAGATGATCTGCCTTAATATGGGCAGTTCTCTTTCGGTGCAAGGGGAGACCTGGAAAAGGAGAGGAGAGGGAGGGCTCCTACAGAATGTCCCAAACAGAGAGAGGGTTAGGGAGTTTCCAGACTGTCAAAGCAGAGGTCCACCTCTGGCCTCCGCTGGAAGATTCCACTATCCTTTCTGAGGCTGAGGTATTACTGGGAGGGGCCTCTTCTGACCATCTGCCAGCACTCTGTCCCCTGAACTGGACAAACAGCTAAGCAAGCTGCTGCTAACAGCACAGAAGGGAAGGTGAGCCCCACCCTCTTGTTCTGGAAAAAAACCGCGAAGAGCTGACAAGTTCATCCTGTCCTGGAGCCAGGCTGTGGCCCTGTCGGCGGGGTCAGGCGGAGATAAGCCCCCAATGCTGACCAAGTGGGCCAAGATAATTCCAGAAGGTGGATAACTACTGCTCTTCACTAACCAGGAAATCTGGGCAGGAACTTCTACTGCTAAGCCTCCATGGGGATAGTGGGCACTTCTTTCCTGATTCTGAAGTCTCGGGGTGGCTTAACCCAGGACCCTTACTCTCTTATCACGCAAAAAGTCTACAGGAACTCCTCACCTAGCCCCACTCATTCAGCCTTTGGAGGATGGGACAAGCTGTGAGCTCAAAGGCCTCATTAATCTGCACAGGTTAACCACCCACAGGAAGTGACCACATATAGAGGGGGAAAGGGGGTTACTACAGGTGCCAGTGACAAGCTAGGAGTGCCAGGAATTCTGCCCCTATTCCCAAGGTGATGCATGATGAAGATACTGGACCTGGGACCCACAATGACACACAGCTACAGTGAGAGACAGCTGTACTGATAACTGTCACATACCACACCACCACACACAACCACACACTCTCAGACACAACCTGGAGTCAAACACAGGAACCCAATACCCCTCACAACTATCCACTGTCATACAGAGTTACATTATTGCTCATTTTCACATACAGGCCCACCACATACAGTGCAGGAATGTCATTATCTTAGTAATAACAGCAGCCGCCACAATAATGGCTAATATTTGAATAGGATACTGTCCCCAGCACATGTATTTAATCCCCCTCAACAACCCTATGAAGAAAGGCAGTATCATTAGCCCATTTTATAGATGAGGAAGTTGAGGTTCAAGGAAGTTGCATGGCAGAGTCAGGACTCAGAAGTAGGCAGGCTGCTCCCAGGGTCAGAGGTACGAAACATGCAGCCACCACTCAAAGACAGTGCCACAGGGCATCAGAAAATCCACACCAGGACCAGATGTGGTGGCACACACCTTTAATCCCACCACTCAGGAGGCAGAGGCAGGTGGATCTCTGTGAGATCGAGGTCAGCCTGGTCTACATAGCAAGTTCCAGGCCAGCTGGGGCTATAGGAGACCCTGTCTCAAAAAAGGAAAGAAAAAAGGAAGAAAGGAAGAAAGGAAGAAGGGAAGGAAGGTCCACACCATAGCACAGAGTGCAGTCATTCAGTCACTTTGGGTCACACAGTCACATGTCACACAGGGTACACGCAGACACATTACAGACTATCATCCCTACACAATGGTCTCACAGTACAACGTATGACAGAATCACCCAGTCACCCCTGGGTCACCCACTGTCACTTGTCACAGGTACACATTTGCCCAGCATCACAACTGGATCTCTACAGAGTTATACCAGTTAAAGGGGGGCGCCACATACCCAGAGGTGCCTCAGAAATTTGAACACAGGAGGGGTTGTTGTTAATGAGCAGGGAGACTGGGAGAGCTGAGATTGATCAAGAGAGGGAGGTGTCTAATACCCCTAATACCTCCACGCACCCCCACTGCAAACAACCCCAAGGAAGTACTAAACAGATTCAATAAAAGGTTCAAAGGCTCAGGGCTAAGTAGTCCGTGTCCTGTCGCAGCTGCCTTCCTATTCCCCGGCAGTGTCCCCTGCACCCCTTACCCAGCCTCTGCCCATTGAGCGCCGCCACCTTGCGGCTCTGCTCCTGCAGGTAGAGTTCCCTGGAGCGGGTCAGCCTCCGCTTCCGGCTCGGGACCCCCAGGCACTGCATGGTGTCCTCCCGCGCCTCAGCCTGGGTGACTCTAGCTCAGAAGCAGGCCAGTCCAGCAGGCGACCTAGCCGCGAGAAGGCGGAGCTAGCCCGGAGGAGGGGCGTGGCTGAGGCCCTAGAGGCGGGGCGCGAGGGAAAAAAAATGCCGACCAGGAGGCGGAGCCAGCTCCGAATGGGCGTGACCAATGGCCAAACGAGATGGGAGGAGGCCAGAACATAGGCGGGGGAGGCGGGACCAACCAGAACCCGGGAGGCGCGGCAGGGAAGGCTGGCCCAACTCCCGGTGTAGCCAGAGAGGGCCTGGAGTTTCTGATCCTCGTGCCTCCACCTCCCGAGTGTTAGAATTGCTAGCATGGTTTGACGGGAGGCAGAGGCTGCCAAACCCACAACCCAGGAAGCAAAAGCAGAGGCCAGAAAGCGGGCTGGAGGCGGGGCCAGGACCAGGAGGCTACGTGGAGGCAGAGCCACACCCGGGAAGCACACTGAGGGCGGAGCCAGAGCCCGGGAGGCGAGCAGGGGAGGAGCCTGTGCAGGAAAGGCGGAGTCCAGGCAGGGACGGGAGGAGCTTCGGCTTGGGAGGGCGTGTGAGTGTGGGCAGGGAAGCCTGTGGGGTGGAGCCTGGGCCTGGACCGCCCAAAGCCAGCTCAGAGGTCCGTGGAGGACACCAGGGCTGGGCGGCTAAGGAATTCCTGGTGGGCTGCAGAGTTTAGCGGACACTCGAGAGGGGCGGGATCAGGCGGAGCCGGGGCTACGCAGCCCGCCCAAACTCTTAACTTCAGTTACTCAATTGATTGTGATTTAGCTTGTTGTTGCCCCACTTGTTTCCTTCTGTTTACCTGAAAGTGCCAGATGCGAATGCAATTCTTTATTTAAAAAAAAAAATGCTGACCTCAGAAAGAGTCTATTCATGCAGGCTTGCCTTGAATAGACCAGAAGGTCTGCAACTTTGTAAAAACTGTGTGACGGGAGCGCCTGGGAACAGTGGGGCCTTTCATCTGCACTACAACTTCTCTTTCATTCACACAGCAATTACTTAAGTGAGTCCCTACAGAGCAGGAGGGTCAGGACACCACCCAGAGGCCAGACTTACCCCTTCTTTACCCTCTGCCCCTGTAAAGCTCCCCACTGGTTTCACTGAAGTAACAACAGTGAGTCATTGGCAAAGCCAGTTTTTGGCACGGACAAGCACAGCAATAATAAAAAAAAAAAAACTGAAGTACAGAGTGACTTGTCTACAGTCACACCAAAAAATAAGTAATGAGCAAAGCACTTAAATGTAGGCTGAAAATATGGACACAAGAAAGCTTTTTATTTGGAGTGGGGATGAGCAGAGCACAAGAGTACAGGGTAGCCCACATTATAAGAAACCACTTAGGGAGTTCTTAACCAGAACAAAGATCTCCTAGGATCCATGGATACTATCTCAGTAAAATGAGTTTCCTTTGAATTTTTTTTTTTTTTGGTCTTTTTTTGAGACAGGGTCTCCCTGCAGCCCCAACTAGCCTGGAATTCACTATGTAGACCAGGTTGGCCTTGAACTCCCAGAGATTCACCTGCCTCTGCCTCCCAAGTGCTGGGATTAAAGGTATGCGCCATGACACCTGGCCACCTTTGAATTCTTGAGCACTTTATTTTATACATCTAAAATCATAATCCTATGAGCACGGTGGCTCACACCTGTAACCCCAGCACTCGGGAGGAAAAGGCAGGAGTGTAGTGAGTTCGAGGTCAACTTGGGCTACATAGTGAGCTCCAGACCACTCTGGGCTACAAAGTGAGATCCTGTCTAAAAAACAATAAAAATAAAACAAAAACAAAACCTCAAATAGCCAGCAACAACAAAACTTTGGGAAGGTTCACAGATTGTCCCTAACTCTCCAAATGGCCTATGGTACAAAAAAGTTTAAAAGCAATGTGGATAGTGTGCATCTATGTAGCATCGTCCTAGAACCCCAGGGACAGACAGCTTTGAAACATAACTAAGGTGGATGGGGAGCTGGCCACCCCCACTTTGTAACCATCATTTCTTGGAAGCTCTGGCTTTTAAGAAACCTAGAATTCCCAAGACCATTAATGCTGTTTGAGACAGGATCTCAAGTATCCTCCCCTGACCTCCAATTCCCTCCGTAGCTGAGGATGACCTTGAACTTCTGATCTTCCTCCTACCTCCATTTCCCACATGCTAGAATTGCAAGCATGTACCACCATGCCAGGTTTATGAGGTGCTGGGGTTTGAACCCCGGGCATGGTGCATGCTAGGCAAGCACTCTGCCAATTAAGTCCTCAGCCCCCATTAATATTTTATCCAGACAATATCCCCTGTGAAAAAATATATTGCAATCCCATGGGTGAGAAAAAAGCTCAGGAAGGGGAAAAGGCTACATTGTAAGTAATAGCAAAGCTAGGGTTGGAGCCTTGGGCTCTTCAGATCAAAATGAGGCCGCTCCACCTTTCAGTTTTACAAAATGCCAGTTTTGGTTTGTCTATTTGCTTGTTTTTGGTTGTTTGAGACAGGGTTTCCCTGTAGCCCCAGCTGACCTGGAACTCACTATGTAGACCAGGCCGGTGCCAATCTCACAGAGATCCACCTCCCTCTGCCTTCCAAGAGCTGGGATTAAAGGCCACGTGTGCCACAAAGCCTGGCAAAATGCCAGCTCTTGCTACAGGACAAGTGGACCAGGTGTGGGGAAGTTGGTGAAGGTGAATGTTTCCTGTGAAGGGAAGGTGCTGGGAGGGCATGACTTTTCAGGCACATCTGGGAACCTACTGGGGATGCAGTCCAAGCTTATCTAAAATAGAGTGAAGGATGTGGGGTGAAGGTGAAGAGGATGGGAACTGAAGCATCAATTGTTGGGTGTCAGAGGCACTAGAAAGAGCCCCTTGGTTTGTGCATCCAATTATAGCCACACTTGCCTTTGGTAGGGACTGCCCTATGGTGTGCCACTGTCCATCTCCCAAACAACTATTGGCAACAACTTGCAAGGTAACTTGAGGAGGTGCCCCTTCAAGACCAGACACTGTTCCACCTACCTGATGTTATCTCATCCCATCCTCATAGAAACCCTGTGAAGTAGGTAGTGTTCTTCCCCCATTTTTCAGATTAAGAAACTAAGACACATGGAAGCCAAGGGATTTGACAGACATGAAAAAGAAAAAAAAAAAAAGACAAGACAAACTCAGGTATTTGTCTCTTGAATTGATGTCTTTATACTACATTGCCTCTGTATGCATATGAGGTACGACTATGCACGCATATGGCGCAACTCCAGGTGAGTCCACAGATCTCCAGCAAATGGAAGGGACATTCCTGCAGCAGACCCCCAAATGACCAAGCAGGAAAGTGTGGGCAGGCAGCACAAGGAAGTATAGCAGCTAACCTGGAATAGCACAGGCCACAGCGACCACCCTCTCCCACCAGTTCTCCTAGAGAGGTTGTTGCTCCCCCATCTGGTTTGCAGTATAGGCAGGAGGTGAGTGACAGAGGTCAATGAGGATGCCAAGCTAGAAGTGGTGAGGCCCACAGGTCCATCAGCTTGGGGTCACAGTGTTCATTCCAGCCCTACAGGAAGGACTTGATTGAGTCACACATCAGAAGGCTGGTCTCAAACAGGATGAGCCAGCCTGGTCAAGCGGATGCCACCAGACTGGGAGGCTCGGATTGAGCCTCCATGTGTCTTGGGAAAGATACCAGCGCTGCCCCAGGGAAGAAACAGGGCAGGGACATAGACACCACACGGAGGTTAGCGCGCTTGTTACAATATGACCCAAGGGCAGCTGTGGTGTCAAAGGCTCCGAGGGCCCCTGAGCATGAGGCAGGCAGGGAAGAGGTGGCAGTCTGGAAGGTCGACTGCAATAGCTAACAGAGAGTGCAGAGTCCTCACTGTGGTCCTCTGAGCTACCTGCTCTTCCTTCCCACCAGTCTATAAGGAGCTCTAAAAACACCTCTAGCCTCTGAAGAGGGGGCAGTGGGAGGGGCAGGGACCTAGCCCAACAAGGTGACTTTAAGAAACCCTGGCTAACTGGGCTCTGGGAACCAGGTGGAGGTCAATTTGGACAAAACACAAAACAGACTGGGGACTGGTTGCCGGGCACACCTCTAGAGGAGTGGAGTGGAGGGTTGGTGAGCACAAAAATCTACAACCAGGTAGTGGAAGGAGAGAACAGATTCCCAAAAGTTGTAGAACACACACACACACACACACACACACACACACACACACACACACACACACTGTAATTTTTAAACAATCCACAACCTCAAGGATACTGGAATAAAGTGGGATATAAAGTTAAGACGTGGAGTGGTGTGATGGGGGCAGGGTTTGCTGAGTTGGTAGATGACCCCGGGGTCATGATGGAGAAAGGCCCTCAAGTGTGGGTGGGTTTCCCACGTCCCTTTCCTGAAAGCCGTTAAAACTTGCAGGCAGGAACCTCAGCTTCCCTCTCAGCTAGAGGGACAGCCAGATAGGAGGAAACAAAGCCGCCTGGACAAAGGACCAAGCCGCAAGGCAGTTCTAGCTGAGACCTGACCCAGTCCCGCCAGGAGGGTCAGCACACCAGATCTCGCGGTTCCTCCCAGCCCTGACATTTCTGACTGTTTTCTGCCCTGGGCAGTGAAGGCTGCAGGGCTCGACCTCAGCCAATCTTGCACACCTCCTCCTTGCCCCACCCCCTTACACCCTCACCCCGCCACACCCGCGCGGCTCGACGCGGTCCAGGCACGCCCGAGCTTTAGGAAGCCTCTACCGACAAACCAGACCGGACCGGCAGGAAGACTGAGATTTGGGTCCTTCAAGGATGCTGTGTCCTAGACTGTGGAGCCCAGACTATTAAAAATCAGGATAAAAGAGAACCCTCGAGAGAAAAGTCTTTAGACTTGTATGTCTCCCCGATCTCTTGGGCCAGATTTGGGGACAAGTTTGGAAACGCCCAAGGTGGTGCCTGACGCGGGCTGAGATTTCCCGGATCCCGCAAAGGGCGGAGGAGAAGGTGTCGGGCGGTGCCCCAGCAGCCCGAGGAGCTGCTATCTCTGCCCGCTGCGGGGACCCGCTTTCCCCGATACGGTCCCTGCAGGGTCTCC